GCAGGCCCCCAGCAGCAGAACTGCTTGGTGCTTGTTGGGGGCGGATCACGGTCTGTCCAGACAGTTGCCCCTGTTTTATTCTTGAGGCTGGGGACGCCAGGGCTCACCTCCCCTTGTGATGTCTAATGAGCCTCGGCTGGCTAACGAGGGAGCATATTCTCCTGTCTAGGATCCCGCTCATTCATCCTGCTAGGAGAGCGGTGGCCAAAGTACAGGACACAAACGTGGGCAAAGGACTCTATGCCTCCCCTCATCTTCTGAGATATGGAAGAATGAGACTAACATGAGGAGTCATGATAACATGGGTGCTGTCCCCCATTCTGCCACAGACTTCCCAGGTGGCCTCAGGCAAGTCATTTAGCCCCTGAATGCCTGCCTTAGTTTCTGCATCTGTAAAATGAGGCTAACACAAACCTTCCTCCCAAGAGACTTGTGGGGTTTAATGAGCGGTCTTGGAAAGTGTAATATATGTCTTAAGTGTTATTAATAAGGAGTGTGGGCCAATGTTGCCTCGGAGCTTTTCCATCCATATGCAAATTTTTCCATCCACGTGTGGAATAATTGTATGTGCACCAGGGCACATGCATGTGCACCACCAGGACAAACATTAGCTGTGAGTGCTCTGCTAATCAGCTGGGTGGCCCTGCAAGTGCCCAGCTTAGAAGGAACACTGTGGCCGAGGAAGGCTGATCCCAGCATGCCCTGCTCCATCCTGATCCCGTGCTTTCCGAGAGCGTTTTGGAGAGCTACGGAAGTTCCCATGTGAACAGCTTTTCCCTTTCGGTTGAATAGGGTGGAGCTGAAGGGAACTGGCCAGCCCAGGCCAGATGGTTCTCACGGGCGTCAGAGACCCGTCTGCTGGTAACGTGGGGGTTGTGTTGCTCCAGTCTATGGGCTGCAGATTGCTTCTCTTCCCCATGTCCAGGGAGAGTGGAAGGTGGACAAGGGATCCCGCTGCCTTGGTGATCCCCAGCTGTTGAATGGGCGGGGCCATAGGCAGCTGGCCTAAGTTAGAGCAGCCGTAGGTGTGTTCCTACTTGGGCTGGCATCCGGCCTGCCGCAAATCAGCCCTCGATGGCTAAACCCACCTTTGCCTTCCCCACTCTGAAAATGCACGTACGTGCCAGGCCGGCGGGGCAGCAGGGCAAATACTTCCGCGCGCTTTGCCAGGTGATGGGGATGTGAGAGCGCGGTTATTTTAATCCTTATGGGAGCGCTAAAATTCTTAGCAATGACACGGTTACACGGTGCCCTCTCCGAGGGGTGGGGCTGGCAGCCGGTGCGCTCTCGGCCTCGCTCCTGAGGAGCCCTTTGCTGCCCTGCACTGCTGTCTCTGATACAGGGGCAGTAGTGTGGAGTGGTAACAGCCCCTGTCCACGGGGGGCCCAAGCTCGTCGCAGACAGAGGCTGCTCTTGCATCTCATGGAGCAGCCTCTGTCCATAGCAAGCCCGGGCCTGCCGTGTGTTCACACTCCACTGTGCGTCCTTCCTTCCATCCTCAGACCAGCGGGCTGGGACTGAGCCAGCCTGCCAGTCCGAGTTTTAAATGCAGAGCACGTGATGGTGTGGGGGGGCTTGTTGCCATTAACCAGGACACGTAACAGCTAAGCAATCACTTATCCGTTAACTGGGAAGCCATTAATCATCCCTAGTAGTATCACAGCAAGGCTGGGAAGCTGGGCAGTGTCGGGGACCAGAGGTGTTGGACCCAGATCCATAGGACTCTCAGGAGCAAGACGCGCCCATCTGCTCCCCAGGGAGCTGCTAACAGCTGCTAGGGCGGCTGCAGAACCCTGCCAGAGGACTGCAGGGCTGGCCCGTGGTTGGTGGAACACTGAGGGTCCCGACGGGCCCAGCACAGATGCAGGGGTTTGTCCATGTGGCTGGGATCTGCCTCGCTCGGAGAGAGCCGCGTTGCTTGTGCTTCTGCTCCCTGGGCTTGTCTCCCGGCCATCCCAACCTGGCCTGGCTCTGCTTGTCATTCTGGGGGTCCGCTCCCCAGTCTGCCTCCTGGCACCGGCCTCTTGCTTTGTCTTCTGACCCGTACCTGGCTCTCCGCACGCCTGTTTTGCCCACTAGCTCAGACCCCCCGTGCCCTGACCGTGACGGGCGGCCATGTCCTAGGCAGGCCGGGGAGCTGGCCCCGCATCGCCCTGCGTGGAGAAGGAGCCAGCGCCCCGCTCCCTCCTGCAGTGCGACGGTAAAAGGACAGTGTGCTGAGCCCTGCTTTTCTGTTCTGTTTAGCTGAAGAAGATTGGCGGTGGTGGCTTTGGCTAGATTTATGAGGCAATGGATCTCCTGACCCGTGAGAACGTGGCCCTGAAAGTGGAGTCCGCCCTGCAGCCCAAGCAGGTCCTCAAGATGGAGGTGGCTGTCCTGAAGAAGCTACAAGGTAAGACGGGAAGGACGTGGCGCCCGGCGGCGGTGTGTGACCGTACACGTGCCGTGGCAGGGGCAGGCTTGGAGACCAAGTTTGTCTTCGTTCGGCCTCGCGGAGCGTGTATTTGTGACGTGAAACGTTTCCGCACCAAGCTCGGTTACACTCGGCATGGCCTTGGGCTGCCAGAGTCTCAGACCCTCCTCATCCGGCTCTGTGAGAACGTTTCCTCCAGTCCCCCGGATCCCAGACCTGGCTCTGAGGTTGCTTTATGGGTGACCAGGCTCAGGTGTAGCAGCCTGGGTTAGGGCGACCCACAACGCCAGCGAACATAATTATGCAGCAGATTCTATACCTAGACTGAAACAGACGAACATGCGTGCCTTACGTTTACCTAGTACTGAGTGCTGTACATTTGGTGTCCTGGTTTTGGGATCCAGCCCCTGCACAGCTCATGAAATGTCCTTACGCTATGAAATCTGCAAGTGCGCAAAGCTGCAGCCGCAAGCTGATCACGTGACGTTTCTGCTTGCTTTTTATTTACTCGCATGTTATTGACAAGGCCGCTCGTGAATTCATGCCTTTTGCATGGCTAACTCTTGTTTCCTTACTGTTTTCTTTCCCTGTCCCTGCAAGGCCTGCATTTCCACAAACACCCCCCCCTTTTAGTACAGCGGTGTTAGTTGCTAACTATACAACCGTTAAAAGTACCCCGACTATCTGAACTATAGGGTGGAGGCTCACTCCTCTTCGTAGCCCACAAAGGCTAGCCCCTCCCCCAAAAGGGGGACCTAACATTTTTTTTGGCTGTGGGCTGGGTGATGGATACCAACTGTTCCCAAGTATGTTTTAGTAACCCTTGTTTTAGTTCTTCTGTTCCCTAAACCCAACGAATTACAAGTTTATTACTGTGTCTGTCACATCCAGAAGCTTTGTACACCTATTGCTACTGGGCTTTTAAGATCCAGACTTAAGGGAAGAATACTCTAATATTCCTTCTTCATTGTTGACTGTCCTTCTAGAGTTACAGTGTACAAATGGTTAGGGGATTTCGAGGAGTTTTATCTAGCACCACAGCAAATCCAGCATGTTCCCTGGGCCCAGACCGGCAGTGGTGCCCACAAACTACCACACACCTCTGGCCCTTTCCAGCACAGGTTGTTTTTACTACACCAGCTTCCTAGCTCCTCAGCTGTACCGTGCGATTGGCAGCCTGTGCCCCCCAGAGTGAACCCACATACCTGCGACACCCATTAGCATCTCTCAGGTTCAAACCACGGAACAAGTCTTGGGTTTTCCAGACCTTGTCAATAGTTTGCAACAATAGTTGAGGAGGCAAAACAAATGCAAAGTGTCTCTTGTCCACTTTTAACTTTCCCATGGCAATGAAAGGGGGCAAGTTTTCTTGCTCCATATCACTGAAGCCTGGTTTTACGTTGCATAGCATGTATCCCCCACACTGCAGAGTTATTGGAGCACTGTGATTTAATCCCATGCCTGCTTAAAAGCAATTACAACCTGTCTATTATGGACAGATAACAAAGCTTAATGAGTTCTCGGTTTTGCTCATTCAGTGGATGTGAGATTTTTTTGCTGCTCTCTTCTGTTGAAAAGCTTGGTCATGTTCCCACCGCAGCTGTGTGCCCGCTGGGCTTCAGAGAAACAGTCCAGTTCATGTGCCAGTGTTGTTCAGTTTCTTTTGTTGTGTTTGCTGCTCCCCGTGGGTAGTTGTACACCATGCGGAAGTAGACATTTGTCGTCAGGAAGCCCTTTCGACAGATCATAATTATATTACACCAGATATCAGTGCGCACGATCCGTTAGGTAACTGCTGATTGGTAACATTCAGTAACGCTGACACATAATGCAATGGAACATTTCTGTACCATATTTACCCCCCTGTAGATTTTAACCCAAGATCACGGCCCTGTTTGCCATCTAAGACACTTTATTCTTTTTTGTTTTGTTTGTTTTGACTTCCAAAACTCTGCCACGTAGAGTGCCTCTGCACTGCACCGGATGCTCGAAATAAGCTAAGCAGTTTGAGCTACGCAAATTGCATAGCCTATTTCGAGTCAGTTTCGAAATAGCTTATTTTGTCATTTGGCGCTGTCTACACAGCACCAGATTTTGAAATAACCCACTATTCCAAAACGTCCCTTACTCCTCGTGGAATGAGACTTAGAGGGACATTGGAATAGCGAGCCCGTTTTATTCCAAAATAACGGGCTTACTGTGAAGACGCGGGAAAGTTATTTCAGGATACCGCTGGTATCCCGGAATAGCGCTGCAGTGTAGACATAGCCCGAGTGTTTATTCCCTTAGCAGCATTTATGTTGCACCACAGTTAAAAGAAACTTCTGAATACAGTTTTCAGCAGCAAATGTTGTCATGTTTGTGTGAATGGGCAGTGCGTGATTTGAAATGGCTCTAGCATCCATAACTAATAACCTGTTTGAACAGAATTTGGGTGCCATTTCCAAATAGGATTTTGGCAGCTAGGCTTCCCTCCTATTACTGTTCTTCCTTGGTGCTGGGTTGGTTTATCCTTTCAAAGCACACGGCCACCTGAAAAAGAAAACGCAACTTATCGGAGCTCCTCTTGGGAGCCTATACGAGATTTGAATTAAGTAACAAGAATCCTCGAACACTAGAACCAGAAGGGACCTCGAGAGGTCATCATGTCCAGTCCCCTGCATGTTCACCTTTCTTTTACCCCGTCACTGTATGCTCCATAGGAATGTACACTGCTTTCATAAGGAACTTCCACACTTCACTTGCTATAATATTAGATGAGCTACGTTAATTTAATTGATTAATATTTTTTCTGCCACGCTTTCTGCCGTTGCTTTATTACTAAAAAAGGAATCCAGGGCCTTTCCTTAGTATCCTTCTTCGGGCTAGGGTTTTAGTCCCTATTTTCATTTACTGATTTATAGTTAAGAACATAAGAACGACCGTACTGGGTCAGACCAAAGGTCCATCTAGCCCAGTAGCCTGTCTGCCGACAGTGGCCAGCACCAGGTGCCCCGGAGAGGGTGGACCGAAGACAATGATCAAGCGATTTGTCTCCTGCCATCCCTCTCCAGCCTCTGACAAACAGAGGCCAGGGACACCATTTCTATCCCCTGGCTAACATGTAGAAACTAATTTGGTTTTAAAGAAAAGGTTAAACATTGTAAAAGCATGGAGGTGCCCAACGCGAAGGCCGCCAGGAGATGTTGGCTGCTGCCCAGACAGAGTCTGGGTCACCTTTGCAACTCTGAAAGATTTGGCTGGATTTGTAGCGGAATCTTTTAAAAAGCCAATTTATTTCGCTCGTATGTTTTACGTTTTCTTTTTAAAGGCTTTTAAAAAATTCTGCAGTCCCTGGGTGCGCTGTGAACAGTTTGAGACCAAATAAATATTTGACGCTTGCTCGGCCTCGCCTTGCCAGCTGAGCCTCGGAAATGTCTTCGTTTCTACAGCATCTACAGAATCTGTTTCCATTATCAATCTCCTCTGATCCCATTCCATAAAAGATGGTCCCTCTACTAACTTCCTAAGTATTTAAGAGGGACATAGTTGCCACCCTCTGAAGATCTGCAGCTTCGAGTGAATATTAAATTAATTATTAAATTAAAGTTGAAGTTGAAGTTCATTCTGTTATCCTCAGTGGGTCCACCTGTCTGGCTTAGGATCTACAATTCTTAAGATTTAGGCCTGGTCTACACTTAAAAGCTAGAATTGGGAGCAGCCCTTCATTTCAGTTGCTCACATTGCCAAACAGTGATTTTAGTTTTATACGTAAGCTTTGCCCAGGGGAACGTTTTTGGCTTGGGGGCTGATGATTGCTGTGTTCTAGTCGTGTTTGATTTTACTGCCATTTTAACTCCCTTCTTTTCCTTCCATGTCTCAGCTGTCGGAGACTTTAGGAAGCTGATTGTAACACTTTTCTGACTGGCATTATTTCTGGTTTCCATAGAATCATAGGCTCCTAGGGCTGGAAGAGACCTCAGGAGTTCATCAAGTCCAGCCCCCTGCCCAAGGGAGCTTTTTTTGCGTGGTTCCCCCTTACAGTTTGTTGTCTGAACGGATCAGTGCCCCTTGTGTTGCTCTGAATTATTTTTCTACACAGCTGTATCCAGGCTACATCCAGACCAGGGCACTCAGAAGCAGGGAAGCCAGACAGAAATCCGTATTCCATTTTTAACGATTTAGACTAAATCGTCCCTTGTCTAATGATATTGTCTGTCTGCCTGCAGCCGTCATTGACGCTTGAGTATTTATGCCCCATTGCTTTGAGAAAAAGGTTTGGTTTCCTTCTGAGTGGCTGTAAAGGGACAGAAACATAGCAGGAGGCCTTTGGCCCCCTTGTACAATTTGACTAGAAGGGTTCCACCAGCCCTGACTACCCAGAGTTGTACCAGTGTGTCAAGGCTTAATCCCCACTCTGGCACGATGAATGCAGAAGTGGGGGCCCACAAAAGTACCCCAAAACCTTCTCTTTCCAGGGTTTGGTAAAAGCTTCCCCCCAAAATCTTAAAATCCTAGATTTTGGGGATAAAAATCCTCTGCCACCACCCAAGTAATGGTAAGAAAACAAGGAAGAGAATACTTGGGAAATCTCAGCCCTAAAGTAAAACCAGGACACACACACAAAAAATTAACCAATACCAGGTTAATAAAGAAAAAGAGAGAGAACTTTTATTATCACCACAATACTCCTGTTACAAGCATAATGACCAGCTGGAAAAGTCACCAATTAATATACTCCTGGGTGACGCCCATGGGCAACAAGCATACTTACAAAAGAGAGGAAAACCCATTTTTAAATGCACAGACATCAGATTCCCATTCCCAAACCATAAAACAATAAAACCTCATGGATTTATCTAAACTTTACCCCACTTACAGATAGTGAAGAGTCTTTTATTGGAGAGAGGCATGTGTCTGTCTCTCTCAGTATTTGGAGAGAAACTGCTCTGGGACAAAGGAAGGAAAAAACAAAAATTCCTTTGTTCCAGTTTGAAATC